CCCCCCCAGTAATTTTTTTGAAGCACATTTATAAGGGGGGGTTAAAAGTAAAAACTTAATTTTAGGTGGTTTAATGTCTAATATCTTTAATATCTAGGAAACCTAACTGCAGCCATGAGCAGCAACGAATGCTTCAAGTGTGGGCGCTCTGGCCACTGGGCCCGGGAATGCCCTACTGGAGGAGGCCGCGGCCGCGGAATGAGAAGCCGTGGCAGAGGTGGTTTTACCTCGGATAGAGGTATTTTGTTGAATTAAAAAAAATTGAGTATTTCAATGTTCAATGGTGTTAAGACTGGTCTAATTATCCTTTTTTCACTCCCTTTGGCCAAAAATAGGTTTCCAGTTTGTGTCCTCGTCTCTTCCAGACATCTGTTACCGTTGTGGTGAGTCTGGTCATCTTGCCAAGGATTGTGATCTTCAGGAGGATGGTAAGTATTTAACCCCTTCTCTTCTTGCTGGAGTGTGGCATTGGGAAGGGGTTTCCACTTTGAGGTTTCATATTGTATGGTTTAAAATACTTGATAAAGGTTTTATAGTCTTGTTCTGCTTCCTTTCCTTATTGTTGAAGCCTGCTATAACTGCGGTAGAGGTGGTCACATTGCCAAGGACTGCAAGGAGCCCAAGAGAGAGAGAGAGCAGTGCTGCTACAACTGTGGCAAACCAGGCCACCTGGCTCGTGACTGTGACCACGCAGATGAGCAGAAGTGCTACTCTTGTGGAGAATTTGGACACATCCAAAAAGACTGCACCAAAGTGAAGTGCTACAGGTAAGTTATTAAAATATTGCTAAAGAAAACATTGCAAATTTTTCTATATACATAGAATATATACATGAATTCTGTATACATAGACGGACCCTGTATGTAGATTGATCATGCATCCCATCAAAGCTTGAGAACAAATAGAGCAATTTCAGCATTCATGATCACCTTACCTTCACATAAGTTTGTGTTGTGCCAGGATTGCTTGTACCCTATGACATTTGGACAGTCCGTACAACCACGGGATTTCTTGGTGTTTTAAAAATACATAGGAACGTTAAAATAATATCAAGCTTCCACAGATTACCTGCTCCTCCTCATAAAAAGAACAGTAAATAACCGGCCAGCCAATTTGTAATGCCCTATGTCAGTCTCCTGTCCATTTCCTGAGATTGCTTTTGTAGTTTTATAATTTACACACACACACACACACACACCCCTAAACCATCTTTGGAGTTTGTGAATGTGACATAAGATAAACTGCACATATTTAAAGTGTACTTATTTAAGTTTGACAGACAACTATGAAACCTTAGACATTACTTTGTAATAAAAGTATCACCAGATGCTTAATGTCTCAATGGGAAAAAATTAATTTTATGGTTTAAGCTTCCTCCTATCAATATCTACCCTCAAATTTAGAGATTAAAGGTAAGCTTTGTTGTCTAAAACAGAAAAACACATTGTCTGCTTTGCATACTGTATACCCCCACCCCAATTGACTGTCCTATTTTTACCAATGAGAAAATTCTTTTACTTTCCTTTTTAGGTGTGGTGAGACTGGTCATGTAGCCATCAACTGCAGCAAGACGAGCGAAGTCAACTGCTACCGCTGTGGCGAATCAGGGCACCTTGCACGGGAATGCACAATTGAGGCTACAGCTTAATTATTTTCCTTTGTCGCCCCTCCTTTTTCTGATTGATGGTTGTATTCTTTTCTCTGAATCCTCTTCACTGGCCAGAGGTTGGCAGATAGAGGC